GGTGTATATCAGTATGTAGTGTCTCTACTTTAAAGAGTCCTCTCCTGCTGATGTTCAGGTGTATATCAGTATGTAGTGTCTCTACTTTAAAGAGTCCTCTCCTGCTGATGTTCAGGTGTATATCAGTATGTAGTGTCTCTACTTTAAAGAGTCCTATCCTGCTGATGTTCAGGTGTATATCAGTATGTAGTGTCTCTACTTTAAAGAGTCCTCTCCTGCTGATGTTCAGGTGTATATCAGTATGTAGTGTCTCTACTTTAAAGAGTCCTCTCCTGCTGATGTTCAGGTGTATATCAGTATGTAGTGTCTCTACTTTAAAGAGTCCTATCCTGCTGATGTTCAGGTGTATATCAGTATGTAGTGTCTCTACTTTAAAGAGTCATATCCTGCTGATGTTCAGGTGTATATCAGTATGTAGTGTCTCTACTTTAAAGAGTCCTCTCCTGCTGATGTTCAGGTGTATATCAGTATGTAGTGTCTCTACTTTAAAGAGTCCTCTCCTGCTGATGTTCAGGTGTATATCAGTATGTAGTGTCTCTACTTTAAAGAGTCCTCTCCTGCTGATGTTCAGGTGTATATCAGTATGTAGTGTCTCTACTTTAAAGAGTCCTCTCCTGCTGATGTTCAGGTGTATATCAGTATGTAGTGTCTCTACTTTAAAGAGTCCTATCCTGCTGATGTTCAGGTGTATATCAGTATGTAGTGTCTCTACTTTAAAGAGTCCTCTCCTGCTGATGTTCAGGTGTATATCAGTATGTCGTGTCTCTACTTTAAAGAGTCCTCTCCTGCTGATGTTCAGGTGTATATCAGTATGTAGTGTCTCTACTTTAAAGAGTCCTCTCCTGCTGATGTTCAGGTGTATATCAGTATGTAGTGTCTCTACTTTAAAGAGTCCTCTCCTGCTGATGTTCAGGTGTATATCAGTATGTAGTGTCTCTACTTTAAAGAGTCCTCTCCTGCTGATGTTCAGGTGTATATCAGTATGTAGTGTCTCTACTTTAAAGAGTCCTATCCTGCTGATGTTCAGGTGTATATCAGTATGTAGTGTCTCTACTTTAAAGAGTCCTCTCCTGCTGATGTTCAGGTGTATATCAGTATGTAGTGTCTCTACTTTAAAGAGTCCTCTCCTGCTGATGTTCAGGTGTATATCAGTATGTAGTGTCTCTACTTTAAAGAGTCCTCTCCTGCTGATGTTCAGGTGTATATCAGTATGTAGTGTCTCTACTTTAAAGAGTCCTCTCCTGCTGATGTTCAGGTGTATATCAGTATGTAGTGTCTCTACTTTAAAGAGTCCTCTCCTGCTGATGTTCAGGTGTATATCAGTATGTAGTGTCTCTACTTTAAAGAGTCCTCTCCTGCTGATGTTCAGGTGTATATCAGTATGTAGTGTCTCTACTGGGACATGTCTCCATGCTTTAATGTTCAAAAAGCTCTTTATTTTTCTCATACTGTCTGTGCTGCAGCACCTCTTTTCACCCTCTGTCTGAAACCAGAGCCCAGTCTGCTCTGATTGGTTAGCTGGCCGGCTCTGTTGTGATTGGTCAACCGCTTAGAGATGTGTCGGAAATGTCCCGCCTCTTTTCCTATCATGTACAATGTGTTAGAGCACTAGCCAATAGAAGCCCGAATGTGGCATATTGATGTCATTATGTTACTGAAGTAAACAAAGGAGTCCAATGGAGGCGTTTCAGGCGGGGAGAGGGGGCGAGTGTGTGGGAGAGGAACTCCCTCTGGAGGGAACACAGGGATTTTAGCCTTTGCAGACCATTTACATGCACACAATTCTATATAACACACTACAGGAAAGCGAAAACCCCAAAAAGCAGAATAGGGCCTATTTAAAGTATAAAATCCCCTGGACGATACTGTGTGTGTGAAAAGGAAATGATCAAAGTAGAATTTGAGTTTTGGCTGCTCTGATGAAGATGGATTCTTTGCAGACCGTTGAGGATGAACAGCCGGCTGAATGAAACACATTTAAAAAGCCTTTCACGTGCTCTGAAAGCTTATATTGTGTGTAACTATGTTGGAACAGGCTGTACAAGGAGGAAGAATCCAAGCTTGACACAGCTTAAGTTAAACAATGACAGAAAACAGTATGTGGTGGCAGGGCTCTGCTCGGAGCCTCCGGGGGACAGTACTGCCTGTGCTTTATTCTGGAAAAACAGGAGGAGCAGACAGGTGCACCACCCTGATATTATACAGTTCACGCCTCTGTTCACTGCAGCAGAGCAGACACTTTTTCATCAAAATAACAAGCAGACTTAAGGTTTGCTTTGGCCATATTGTTTTTGTCAGCTTTTGTAGATTGATGCTGTAGTAAAATAGCCTCTGGTTTAAAAACAATTTGAGTCAAAATGCATTCAGTTGCCAGAGGCAAGTGCACACACTGCACCACTTTTCTGCTGATCCTGGAACAGGCATCATTTGGTGTTTACTGCATCCATCACCAAACAGGAAACAGGATGATTTTTCAAAGAAAGTGAGTGGGATGGCGTCAAAATAAGTCAAACGGACTGTATGTACAGTTTAAAGTGACAGGGATGAACTTATAATGTACTGATATGGTATTCAAAAATGACTCCCATTATGTGTAAATTACAGTTACGTCTGCAATCATTTCGAATCTTTCCCTGTGAAAAGGATGTGTTTGAATATCTGATATCAAGCCATGAGCTCACTCCTGACTCTGTAAACATAGACTTTATGCCAAAAAACAACAACAAGTGACTGTTTGCTTTCAGGCTCTCTGGGTGATACATTTTTAAAAAGCAATAAGGGAAATGAGCCGGAAAATAAAACGGAGTTGATATTCAGAGCAGCACGAGACACTGCGGCCCTGAATACTAATCCTGGCGGTCTGTGAGGAGGGGGTGCAGCGCTGGGCCGGACCGCATCAGCATGTCAAGTGGAGGTCAGCCGTGTTAGCCGTGTGCTAATTGCTGTTACGGCTAATAGGAGCTACTGTCAAAGACACTGAACACGTTTACAGGCACTAAATATTCAGGGTTTTGCCCTTACGCTGTTTATGACTAATGACAATGAATATTCCACCAATATTCCTTTTTACATGCCATCGTGCAAACCAAAATTAATAGGTTTTTTGAAAGTATTTTCAACGTGGCGGCAATTCTTGACCTTTGCAACAAAGTGTCCCTTGGTCATTCTGTCAACAACATTTCATAACTTTAAAAGTAAATGTTTTTCTCCTTTCGACCAGAGGGTTAGTTTTTCTTTTCTGCATGCATCTCTACTTGTTTTGCAGTATAAACCCCTATTGAGATGCATATTCCAAATCCGCTTTACGTATCCATAAAAAGGTTCTAACCCCTGAACAATATAAGCATACACCACATACAGTATCTTAATCGGAAAATTCTATATTCAAAACAAAGATAAAGAGAACTGGATACAGCATTGGAGGCGGACCCCGTTCATTCCTATGAAAGTTGCTCAGTGGCGCATGAAGCCAAAATGGCCTGACTTGAGAGAAAAAGTACCCGTATCGGCGCCCATAGAGCATGTTGTCGTACCGCCTTTGGACACTTGGAATATTTGTTTCAATGTCCAGTTCAATTCCTCGGGTCTTGGAATCAACAAACACAATATGCTGTTTCCTGTTTTAAACTCTTCACTGCCCTGTTCCAAATCAAAGTGGAATATTAGCTTGCATGTAAACGTAGTCAGTGTCTGAGAAGTCATGACCTGATGCATGAAAGTTGAGCCTCTAAATACATCTGGGCTCCTGTGGATGAGCGGCTTCGGGTTGTTTGGAAAATATAGACTGTAAATAAACTTCTAAATGGGGTCCTGCATGTTTAATGTGGTAAATTCATGAATTAATCAGGACAGATTCCTGAAACTGCCCCACATGCAGAGAGGAAAATATGGATCGGTGTGAAGCAGTTTAAGCTCTTCCCCGGCTGGGACTGACTGGCTGTTATCTTTTTCTCTTTCGGAGTATTTTCTCAAAGCTCTTTTTTTTATTTTTAAGAGTGCCGTGGCCAAGGATGGGCCAAGGATGGGCCAAGGATGGGTCAAGGCTGCTGCAGTCTGCAGGTCGGGGCAGCAGGGAGGGTCTGCCGGAGCAGATAAGACGAGAGCAGCTCCACATCTCAGAGGCCCAGCACTGGGTCTAACCTCCTGTTCACACACACTCACACACACACACACACACTCTCAAGTGTCCCACTCCTCATGAGCCTTTCTGCTATGATTGGGACATGTATTCATCCTGTTGCTAATGTTATTGTATTAAAATGAAACATTTTCTTATTCAAGAAATATTTAACTTTCTATCTGAATTTATGTGAATTGAATTTTTGTGTTTCCCAAACAGTTTTTTCAAAGTTTGGCAATTTCAAATATTTAATTTTTTTCATGATGGACAGTAACCTGAGAATGTGTGATGGCTTCCAACAGCGAAATGTCACACTCTTCAAGTAAATGATCTATGTGCCCTTTTTTTGGTGCCTATGCTGCACATAAAATGGCGATGGTGCAGTCAAAACAGATGGGTTTTTAGTCTGAGACGTAATATAGCTAGACTTTCTGCTTTCCTGAAATCAATGGGGATGTGGTTATTTCAGGGATGACGGGGATTGAGGTGGTCGTGCAGGTCTGCCCCCCCCCCAGATGTGTGCACCACGCTGATGACCAGGTTGATGGAGCATCTGCAGGCCATTGTTTTGACCTGGTCAGGGGTTCACACAAACAGAAGCCGTGCAATTCATCACTGAGAATGAGACCCCTATGCTATGCTATGCTATAACATGACTGTCACTCACAAGCAAATTAAATGTCCTCTGAAAAATCGTTCTTGAAAGAAAAAACGCACTTATATTGTCCTACATGTAAATGGGATATTCAAACTAAAAGTAGTGGTGGTCTTAAAAATAAAACAGTTAAAGTTATATATCAGTGGTCTTCATTTTATAATCAGATACAGTTGCTTGAATGATTTAAATCCTGGTTTAACTTCCATATGTGTTTTGTTCGTTCTCAATTTCTTCTCTTTTACCTATCTTATAAGTGTTTCTGCACACATTAAACTGAAAAGCTCCTCCGCATAAACACCTTTTCCTGGTGACCTTGCATCTTGTGCTTCACTCTTGTCATCTTGCATAATGTGTCGTAGCATTAGAGCTGTTAAAAGGCAGTTCAGCGTAAGCTAGCTTGTTGGATTGGCCTCTTGGCTGTTCAACACCAGCAGAGCACTGAAACAGTGTGAAGAAGAGTGAGAGATGAGGAGTCAGGGAGAGACTACACGGCTGGATCATGGGGAAATATCAATTTGATATGAAATAGTTCCGTGGCATCACTGTAGGTTATTATGGAAGAGAAAGATGTCTGTGAATAGATCTGACTATTATAGTAAAGCTAGTTTAATCAGTCACAAGCACCACCACGACCATCCTCTGGAAATCAAAACATCGAACATAATCGAACGACAAAAACTTGAAATCTAAGCAAGCTAGGTTAGATCCAGTAACTCAAATGTCATAACACACACCAAGATCTGGTAAAAACCAAGGTTTCTGTAGATAGTCGCCCCTCTGCTGTTTGAGTAATCTCTGATAGTCTGCTGGTGGGCCGGGGGTTCCTCTGAAGCGCAGCAGAGAGGAGAGGAGGCAGATGGAGCGTCAGGTGGAGGGTTTAGAAGTGGAATACCTGCTGCTGGCCCTGGACTTTGGGGAAATCCTCTTTCTGCTTGCGTGTTTTGGGCCGCTCCAGGCTGCCTTGCTGAAGGTGTTTGAGCCGGGCTGCCACCGTGGGGCCCTTGGTCGGCCCCGGAGAGTGAGTGCTGTTCTGTGGGAGCAGGGACAGGGCAGGTATAAGACTTGTTTACATCATAATACATACCATAAGTGTTCACTACATGAACTTGGCATAATAACACTACATACTGGGTGCGTCTCACTTCGGTTATTTTTCATTTCCTCGCTCCTCGGGCTCGGTATCACCGGAAGTTGATTTGTCTGCGCCATCTTGAGTACCGTCCCAGTGGCCTTATTTTTGCCGGAGGACCGAGGATCGAGGAGCGATAACGGAGGAGCGATAATCGAGGAACTACCAGACCATCCTCCGGTGAAATCCTCAGACACTCGCCCCGCCCCCTTACTGTGTATCGCTCACTGATTGGACGATGCAGCGCATGCACTGATCTGGCTGCTGTCAGACGATCAGCTGTGCGGAGTCATCACAAACGGACGTCACTTCACGTGACGCTCCGGAGGAAACAACGTCCCATTGCTCTTAAAACTCATTTCCCTGCTTCTCGTGGTTTCCTTGCGTCTCTCCATGCTTCCCTGGTGGGAGGGACTAGTCGCAGGGAAACGACGCAAGTGAGGGACGCAAGGAATCCATTTAACCGAAATGAGATGCACCTACTGTATGTTATTGTTGATCATCTCTTTCCAAAATAATGGGCATTAATCTGCTGCTATTCTAATAAATAGACCGAAGCACCGTTTGGATGTATGTTTAACTCTTTGTGGATATGTTAGAGCAGGTTTTCAACATCGAGCTGTTACAAAAAATATTGTAATTATTTAAGAGACATTGCATATTTAGCCCAATACACAACTAACAAACAAGGAAGAGTCACCAGCAACGGCCTTTAAAGAAATTCCAATCCCAAAATGTCTTATATAAACTAAACTCGATTTAGAAACCTGACTAACTTTATCAACTTGTAGAGATATACTTTAAAATAAAAAAATAGAAAAATAGCTTTCCCTCATGTTAAAACATAAACATATTTTGTAATAATAAATATTCAACCCTTAGAGATATTTCAGATTATGAGAGTCCTAGGGTTGAAAGATATCTGGTTATGTTAACAATTAGTGTCAACATCACTGCCATAAAAAGGAACATCCCACCTTTCAAATTAATATTTTCCCTGAGAAACATTTGGTAGACCTTTCTTAGAAAATGGGAGAAATGTTTCTCTTTCACACAAACAATGAGGGCATAATAATATCTGGGTAAATCAAATATGGACACAAAGATAGTAGACCAAGTAATGTTACAGGCACTCCCAGAAGGGTCCAGTTCAGCTCCTTAACCTTTTACACATTCAGAAAACAGCAAATGCACAGCACAGGAAAGTGCTCTACCATTGGAAATATGATTTGAACTATTAGACTTTGTTATTCTGCTGCTTAAAACATAGCACAGGGCCCCTCCTGTCTCAGTGAGCAAACAAAGGATATGAATTGAAAACACGAGAGAAGATTTCTGTCTGCAGCTCTGAACCTGAACCCCCCCTCCGTCACCTTCCCTCCCCCTCACTGTCCTTTCTTTATTTTGACAGCAACCTGCTTGTCGTCGTTGTGCAATCATTCCAACAAAAAGCAGAAAAAGCGACTCTTTGCTCTCTGTTAGATGTCACCAGAGCTGTCGGGAAGTGCTCTCTCTGCTCACAGACTGCCAGACAGAAAGTGAATACATGAATCTGTGACTCACTGCACATCACACCATCAATTACAATGTGTACACTGCTAAAGCTGCAGTTAAGTGAGACCATCAAACACAAACAAACATTACATTATGTGCAGAGCTCAGAGGAAGCAGGAAGCAGCAGAGGAACTGTTAACAAGGTCAGAAAGAGAAGTTCAGTAGAGCATCAAACGCACTGCTCAAATGTTTTTATCTTTTCTATTTGGTTAACTTTGGTTAACTTGGTCTTCTATAGTAGTTACTTGAAAGAAAAGTCCATATAATGTTGTGATTGAGATGTAGAAGTGTTACCGGAACATAACATTTCTTGATGGTTGATTAATAGCAGTGTCAAAACATGGTAAAGGTAACAATACCAATTACATCCCTAATGCATTATAGGAAGATATATATATTATAGGTCACCCTTAAATCTTTATCTAAGGAAGACTTATTGGAAGACTAATCCAATAAGTGTTATTTCAAATCCCCAAATGATTTCCTTAAGATGTTGTAAGGTAAACTTAGTCAAGAGTAAGTGTTTACCCTTAGATGCATACGTATTCTGTTGCTACAGTAGGTCAATAGTAACCATTTCATCAGGACTTTTTAACCCTTAGATGCACAAGTGGGTATTTTTTGACCCGGTGAGGTGGTTTTCTTGAAGTATCTTTGTAATTACATTTTTTTATCATTTCATATTCTAGCTACTCCTCAAAAAACATGTTTTGGATATCATGCCATTCAAATGTTTAATTTACATTTTAAGAAATTGTAGTTTTTGTATTACTACCCCAAGCTTCCATAAGTGGGTCAAAAATGTAAAAAAAAGGTCTAAAAATATAAATAGTGAAAAATTAAATATAAAATATTTCTAGTGTGAACCAAAATATAATACTAAATATTATAAAAGTGATTTCTCTGAACCAAAATGACAAAAATGGCATAAAAACACATATTATTCTAATACGAGTCCTTTTTGACCCACTTATGGAAGAGTGTAGGGTCTAGTCACTCGTGCATCGAAGGGTTAAAGAGATCTATACCACCAGTCTTATAATAGTGAAATCATTTGTGGGACGATGGCTTTAATTATGGTGATTAAAGACAAGGAGCCTTTCTTAAGACAAGTACAACCTCTGGACCCTAAGAGATGTTTTAGAAAGTAATAAAGGGACTGTGTATTTCAAAATAAAAAATAATATATTATACATATACATGTTCTTATTGTATTGTGTATCATATTCTTCGCGGAGAGCAACATCGTTCCAGTTTTGTTTCTTTTTGTGTATTTGATTTGTTGCTAGGTACGATAATGCAGGTTAAGTTAAAAAAATGTGTTGCGTAGTTTAAAAACTGTACACACTGACGCCACAATGAAAGACTGTGTACACCTCTCTGTGTTCTCTGTGATTAAAACGGACTTAAAACACTTTGAAAAGATTTGTTTTGTAATCTTGATCTGTGGAGTTACAGTTTGGGTGTTAGTAGTTTTAAAAGCTGTCGTAAAGTAGAGAATAAAAAAGGGAAGAGGACGGCAAAGGGGAGTCAGTAGAAGCACAGTCCAGAGGCGTGGCAGCCGGAGAGGGCCGCTTTTTACTTTACCTTTCTGCCCAAGGACCCAAAGACGCAGGGAGGGGTGGGGGTGGCCTTTGGTTGGGTGCTTTTATTACAATCTTTTACAGGTGTTCTTTGAAATATCTGTGATCCGTGATGTGAGAGAGTGTGGCAGAAACATGTTAAAACACCAAAACTTCAGGAGCACAAATCAACGATGTGTTGCGAATAAATCAGTTATTTACCTCGAGCTCGGCTATAATCCTCTCTTCGTCGTCGTCGTCCTGAATGCCGGACGCTGCGATCACAGGCGGGGTGGAGGCGGGGCGGGGGGTGTCACAGGGGGTCCGCCTCAGCTTCACCAGAGTTTTAGGCATGTCACCATCTTCTTCCATCTTAAAGGAGAATGTAAGACGTTAAATGCCCAGGTAGTAGAATGCATACAGCGCACAGTCTGCACCTTCAAATGGACTAGCAATTACTTCCAGACAGTTCTTTTTATTTCCACAAAGGCCTCATTGGTGACTTAAAAATGTTTTGGGATTTACACAGAGTAACCATTTCAGTAGGTATTCTGTCCGTCACATTATATTTTTATGTGATGATATGCTGAATATTATTGGGCTTTGCACTGTTAGTAGAATACAATAGATATTTGAAAACATCACTTTAGACATTTATTTGTTCATTATTTGGGGTAATTCTATAGAAGAAACACATAAGTAAAGAATTGAATATAGTAATCCATAATTATTTGTTAGCTGCAGCCCTAATGTCAACAGGAAATTGTTGAAAGTAACTTCAATTGTATTTCATCTCCGTTTAAGGATCTCAGAAACAGACTATAAACTTTGATTTGACCGACAGAATAATATTCGTCAACTTCTCAGTTATTGTTAAATGCTATCGTTTTTTTTAATGATAATAAAGAAGAAGACGTAATTAAAACCTGCCATGCTTCCATTTTTTTTTCATATGAATACCTTTCAGACATTTAAAGACATCACCTTGGACTTAGAGAAACTGAGATGGAAATGTTTCACTATTTACCAAACCAGTATATGATTCATCGAGAAAATTATCAGCTAAGTCATGAATAAGGAAATACTTTTCAAATGATTTGCAGCCCTAGTTTTTCATGTTCTTCAGTATATTTACTTCTATGAGACAACAGGATGTGTTGTGCAGTAGGTGTATAGACAGTAAAGGTCACAGCTTTACAGAGTGTAATGTAATGTGGTGCAGAACTTCGGCAACAATTAATTTGTGCTGAACGCTGATGGAGTATCAATAACCCTAAATACCAAATATCAAGACACAGATCTTCTCAACATCCCAAAATAACACAAACAGAGCTCTGTATTGATTTTGAGTGTCTTTCGTTCTTTAACCGACTACTCCAACAAGATGAAAAGTGATTTTTCCAAAGGCATCCACTTAGATTTGAGATATTTTGCTTATTCTTCGGTCAAGATCAATAGTACAGGGGTTGCCAGGAGTTATAAAATCCGAAATCAATTAAACAGACAACCTATCTGGATTTTTTTATACATTAACCTGTTAAGCACCAAGCCTGTTTTTCATGTTTCAGGCTCGAAAATGACATGCCCAAAACAAATGACTACAACTTAACTTCTAAAAGGGTTATATGAATAATTTATTTTATCAAAGCAAGGTTACATCTGTGAGTTGGATGTAGAAGTGTCAGAATCAATATAGATGTTTTTTATTTTAAAGAAAATTCAGATTTTACATAGTAAAAAACTGTAAATTATAGTGTCCGTCCAAATATTCTTTTTTACTTATAGTGAAAACTACCCTTGGATGATGGGTTAGTAGACTAAAAGCTTTAGGAATCCAAAGTACAACATATAATAAGTACCCTGTATCAAGATTGATGCAAAACAAGTGACATTTGACCTTTTTAGAGAGGTTTAGCCAAAACCACCCCACCTCTGAGGTGATTTGGGTGAAAATTAATCTTTTTCCATATCTCTGGCCCCCCTTGGTCGATTTTGATGGTTGACACCTCTTTCTGACCGTTAGAGCCAATAGAATCGAAGGGGGAGGCCCCCACACAAACTCGTTGTGAAAACAAATGGTGGGGGCTGCGCGCATGTACATTTCCATCAGAGTGGACCGATCTCTCGCTCTGACATTTGGAAACGAAAAAGCAGTTTTATTGCTTATCAGAAATCATTTCAAAGAGGACACAGACACATTGGATTAACCTATGGATTAACTGCAGCATCGTTTTTTTATCGTTTTAATGCCATTGAAGACCAGTTTTGACCAAGGTAAGCCATGTTAGCGTTTCTAGCTACCTAGCTCTAGTTTTTTACACAGATTCTGTGTCTCCAGGAGATGCAAAACGAGGGGTTGGCTGTGCATCTAGGATAAGTAATAAGGGAGTTATGAGTGAGTTTAGGTGCAGTTTTAGGTTACATTTTTTTGCTCGTGGCTAATTCAGAGGCTGAGTGTTAGCATTGTGTTTTTTTTTGGGATTTTTCTTTTAAAAAGATCAGTTAGCTGAGTTTCTTCCCGTTACATTGATATAAAACATTTACAGTTTATTAAATATTAAGATTCCTTAGACGTTGTTTCCTGCAAATGACGCGTTTATCCGCCCGGTACCGGGGGGGCGGTGCGTAACAGGTTAATCATTATTTGCATGCAATTTTCCATGTCAGACACTAAAAGGAAGTGACAAGAAATCCCCCCTCATTGTTGGATTGGTGGTTGTTTTCCTTTGCTTCCATCATTGTAGTTTTTTTAATCACAATTTTTTTTTTCTTTGCTCTTGCTACAAGTATTTAAGATAAAAACGTGTGTTTTATTGGAGTTATTGAATAATATTGAGATCATCTTTTCGATTTATACTGCCATCTTGAAATCATGTATGAACAGCTACAAAATGGGAGGGGTCCTTGAGTGTTCAGCTCTTTTTCGAATGAATGCCTGGAAGGATTCAGACTGTTGCGGAGACAGAGGTGAATTCTACTCAGGAAGTTTCCTCACAGAGTGATGGATGAGGGAGATCAGGCTTTAGAGCAGCAGCAGCAGCTTGTTCTCGCCTCAAACCAAAACCTTAAAATGCCTCCAGCCAACAGGAAGCACATGTAATATCCAGCATGTTTTTAAATCCCTACATGGAAAACCACGGGGACTGTTGGTGAAGCTAACTATTTTAAGCTACATCTAACTTATATGATTTTCTTATTTTGTTTTTGCTGACAGTGCCTTTTTAAACTTCACACAAGTTGTGCAGAACAAAACAGTCAAAGATCTTTAAAGGGGCCCTATTAAGCTAATTTTCAGGTTCATATTTGTATTTAGTGTCTCTACTGTGACATGTTTCCATGCTTTAATGTTCAAAAAGCTCTTTATTTTTCTCATACTGCCTGTGCTGCAGCACCTCTTTTCACCCTCTGTCTGAAACCAGAGCCCAGTCTGCTCTGATTGGTTAGCAGGCCGGCTCTGTTGTACCCAATAGAAGTGTTACTTTCTGATGCTACAGAAGTAAACAAAGGAGTCCAATGGAGGCGTTTCAGACAGGGGGGGATTGTGTGGAAGAGAAACTCCCTCTGGAGAGAACTTTAGGATTTGAGCCTTTGCATAATAGGGCCCCTTTAAGAAAACACTGAAGGTTTCAACCCGCAGCGCTATAGAGGTAGGTTTCATCTGTGAAATGTCACTAAGATTAGAAATGAAACAGCTGCTGTTGAAACTTAAAGCAGCTCTGCTCTCAGTGACACTCACTGTCACATCATTCATTCAAACTGCCGGCTGTCGTGTGTTTATTTAGGAGCTGCGAGATTCACTCGCTCTCAGGGAACAAACCGGCCAGTGTTTTAATGGCAGCTGTCACTCCGGGAGCAAACAAACAGTCATTTCCAATAACTAGGATGTATTAATCATGGCCCTCTTACCTTAGCTTTAAGAACAAGATCAACATTGGTTATTATATCTGTTGTGTAACCAGTGTTCTTGAGCCTTTCCTTTACTGGCTACTTTATATTTTTGGTCACCTCGGTACTTTACAATCACATCTTGTGGCAACTATTTTGAATGTTCAAATCATATTCATATCAAACTATTCATTGTTGCAGCATCACAAATGTGGATATTTGCTGTTTTAATTTGTTTGTGTTTTAATATGTTTTAATAATAATGTTGCTGAATGGGTCACTTTGGGATTGTGGGTCAATTTATCAGCAATCTCACAATCTTTTACAAAACAATCTATTTATTATTGGGGATATGAATCAGTAAATGAATCCATAATACAAATAATAATTAGTTAATAGGGGGAAAAGCGCTAAAAGTAAAATAAATAACCTTTTTCCGTAACAGATTCTTTTCAAAGTGAGGGATTATCATTTTAATTTGAGTAAAGGAGCAAAGCAATTCCTTCACAACTGTGTTTAACTGATTAGCTGAGGCATGACTCAATTAGATGGCATAATCATTCAGTTTTATGTAACAATTAAATTAAATCAGTGTGACAGACCTTTCCACTGCTTGACTACTGATCTCAAGCCTAAAGAGCATCTCACCTTCATGTTCTTGGAGGTGACGATGACGTCTCCGGTGCGGTTGGTGGTGAGGCCGTGTGCAGAGGGGAAGCTTCGGCGAGGTGGGGGGGGGAGGCGGGGACTTGGAGGGCTTCTCTGTGCGATACCTGCTGGCCACGCTGAGATCCACTGTAAACACAGAACAATGGTTTTGATGGTTTGGCACAACTGAATAATTCACAAACATAACAGATGACATATGACGAACAGTGCAGGAAGAGGCAAAGGAGCCATTGGGCTTATTCAAATCCTTTACCTAAATAATGTTAAAAATCACAATTTTCAATCAATATACAGATCTATATACAAACAATTGCTTGAATTCAGTAGAAATGGCAAACTTTAAGTACAACATATATCACACTTAAAATGTAGATAAAATAACACTGGCATCATACAGTGGTCACATTATTTTTAGGGTATTTTTTAAAGCAACGCAGTGAGGTACAGTTTTTAACAATTGTAAACAATTTAAAACACTTCAACATAAATAAACTGAAATGACTGCATAGCTGGAAGGGAGACACTCACCGGACCCTCGGTGTGAACCTCCCCCCTCCAAGCTGTTCAACTTCTGGGCAGCCATCTGCACTTTGTTGGTCTGCTGGTCCCCACTGGGCGTGGTGCTCGAGGTCCCCGTGGTGCCAGCTGCAGGAAAAGTGGCTGTGGTGGAGGTGATTGGGATGGTGATTTGGGGCTTGGGGGGCACTACAGGCTTGTTTATGTGCCTGGCAGCAAAGTCCAGGTCTGGGATGGCCTTCATCAGCTCGGCCTGCGTCTCCTCCAGCAGCCGGTTGATGTCCTGCGCGCTGAACTGGGTCAGGCTGGCACGCTTCTCCTCCCAGTCCCGCTCTGCCGCCTGACACACACACACACACACACACACACACACACACACACACACACACACACACACACACACACACACACACACACACACACACACACACACACACACACCACACACACACACACACACACACACACACACACACACACACACACACACACACACACACACACATAGAGAGTGATGAGCTGTGACATGCTAACTACTATCAGGCCAAGCTGGGAACATAATTAAGACACATTGATGCAGTGTGTCTTCTAATATTACAAGGATAAATGGGAGTTATTCACACACTGCTGCTGGTGTGTGAACATATTCTCAATAGGACATTTAAGCACCTTCAGATGTGATTTTAAATGTAAATGGACATTGTGCCATCTGGCTAATCTGGACAGGTATTACTACCTGTTGAAAAATGTGCATAGTGTTGTTAAAGTTAACGAAAGGATACATACAGTAGTACCTTCGTTTGAAAAACAAGTTGCCAAAAAGTACAGAAATTGAAGGAAAAGTGATTGGATCATATTAAAACAAAACATTTAACATATTTCCTGTGTGCCTTTTTAATTTAAAGGAATATCACTGAATTGGAAGTGACATTTTGTTGTTATTGGGTTGCTAGGGTAAGTAACAATATTTCTGACAATGACTGAATACATGTTTTTTTTCTGATATGCCAGCTATGCAATATATTTCTTTATATCCCCTCATGTATTCAGAGACGATTTTTTTTTTTTTAACAAATTTGGGACATTTTAAAACAATATTCAATTATTATTTCTTTAATATGTGAGTTATTTATTTTGTAAATAAACCGTTATTATCTCAGATAATATCGATTCTTCAGGTAAATGTATGATTTCTCCTTCAAAATGAACACTTAGATCTCAAATAATCCATGCATTTATTTTTATTTCCAACTTTCCTCTTGGAAATTCTCACGATATTAGTCCTCGTCCTCAAACTCCATAATTATAATTATTTTACCCTTATACTCTGTTGTTGTGAAAAATAAGTATGATTGAAAAGACAAAAAAAAAAACATAATCAGCATCTCATTACCAGTCTGACTTCAGCTGACACGGACTTATCTCCAGCCCGCCGACTCGGCAGCTCATCGAGGACCCGGTTCCTGAAGCTCATTAGAGGCTGGAGGTCCTGCTCGGGGCCCGAGGGGTCTGCGTCGCCGGCGGATACGGGCATCCAGTTGGCGAGGCCAGAGCAGGAGCTCATGTCCGTGAGGCTGAGAGGAGGACTGTTCAGGATGTCCAGGTCCGAGCTGCGGCTCATGTCCTCAGATCTCTTCTGTGATTGGCTGGGGAGGTCTTCGGGGCACTTCCACACGCCCTCCGTCATTTGTCTGTACATATAGGAGGGATACAAGAAACTACAATACACACAGGACACAATGAAGAAAGCAAACTACAATAAATTAAAGATGACATACACTCAATGTACCAAACATTTTTTATTCCTTTTTAAAATGAACAGCTCTTGCAACAAAGGTCTCAAGCCAGACTCAAACCAGTTGCATAATCGGTGCCTTGAACCAAGAGGTAATCCTATTTTTCTGATTATTTCTTATTCATTTAAATGTTCTCATATTGTCAGAAATAATGCATTTTTCATCACACACTCTCAGAGCCAAAAGTGGCATAAGAGACAGATCTGTTTCGCATTTATTTATTTTTCAGACATTTTCCGTTTGACATAATTGTAGTTCACTGTAATGCATTTCAAGGCAGTTCTTTTTTTAATCTGAACATTTTTAAATGAGGTCTTTCAATGATTTTGTCTTTCTACCCAACCTTTTTATTTATTTGAATCCATGTATAGATTGCAGGTAAAAGTATGTTTCTATACATAGATAAACGTGAATGTCTTTGTGTGGATACTATATCTTTTGTTGTACAAGCAAAAATAAAAACAAACATTTTTTTATATTTCTCAAAGTAAGAAATGAATTGCCATCAAATTGGGTATGACACCCTACCAGCACTGTTTTTCAGCAACAAACTGAGTTTGAAGTTTGAATCCTACAGCTGTCTATAAGTAAATCCCCATAAAAACGCCTACGAGAGGAAACTGGTATGTGAGCTGACCTTGGGTAGTGAGGTATTATGTGAGTGAACTGAGGAGTGTTTGAGATGTATACCTGCGGAGCGAGCTGAGCGCATCAGTCATGGTGTTGCAGCGCTTCAGCAGGGCGTCCAGACGGTGAGGCTCCTCTTTCAGGAACTTCACAGCCTCCACCTCCACCCTGAGCACCACCCGCATCTTACTCTGCAGGCTGGGGAACTGGTCTGCAGGGGGGGGGGGGGGAGGAGAGGGATAAGGACGAGAGACAGGTGGATGAAGAAGACGGAGTGGCATTGTCAGAGGGATATGTTGAGATAATGATGTGTGGAAGAATGGAGGCGGAGAGAGGGGGGGTGAAGAGGGAAGGGATTATAGGAGAGGAAGACAGAATGCTGTTTTCTGTCGCAGCTATAGTTCGAATCTGTTGGATTTTCTTGTCATATCCAGCAGGAGGATTCAGTGGAGGTCGGCCAAGTGAGAGGGAAGGGCATGCTGGATGTGCGGTAACAAAAAGCCAGCCTGTGTTGGTCTGTGGGTGTATGTGTGGACACTTCACGCTTTCTGACACTCAGCTGTCCTGAAAAGCTGTCCAACTGCCACTCAAACACTGAATAAAAGGACAATGATGCAATTGTAGGCGCCAGGTGGACATGCTAACTAGAAGTGGTCAGTAGAGACTAGTCTAACCAGGACCCTATGAATTGAAAGGTATGTTTTATTTGTTTTATATATGTTATAACTATGTCAATACAGATGAATATATATATTTTTTGTAACTTTAAGGTACATGTTCATATGTTTGTATAAATTGTTGAAACCAAAAATAGTGGTTAAAAAAATTAAGAAAATAAAGAAATAATCGTAAGACGTTTTTGGAATTAAACATGTTTCGAATGCTTCTATAAGCAAACAATACTAAATAAAAGCATTTTTATTAAATTCACGTAATTTGAAGCAGCTCATTCATAATAATAATAAAAAAAAACATTTGCAGTAACCACATCATGTAAAAGAAGTTTGAAGCCATCTACGACTCGGCTACGACCATCATTGTCATATGACTCAAATTCTGTGAAACCTGGTAAGCAGAAGTTGCAACAATGTAAATAGTTTAACATGTATAACTGCCAAGCCCTCTTTTCTCCCCCTAATATCTTCTAAATTGCAGGGTAGGCCGCAGTGAGTCAAATGTGGCAGGAGCAAAAGACTCCTTGCGGTTCAGAGGAAGTACTCATTAATATTCCAGATGGAGAGGGGAAGTACACAGGTCAGAGTCGCAGGACAAGAGGCTAAACCTGGAACTTCATGAATATCAAGCCTGAGAGGATTCATTAATATTCATCAGTGACTTTGTTTTACACCAATTTTACATACTGTACACGTAGTACTTTAGCAATCCCAGTACTTGAACTTCAACCCAAAAAAACGACATCTACAGTGCTGCACTTGAGATTTACATGTATGAGTATAGAGCTGTTTTTATTTATTTGAGCAATTCATATCCTCTTAACAAACGAGCCTATGGACCTTGGACAAAAATAAGATGAGGTACCATCATGGCCATATTTGAAGTTAATAACAGATTTGAGCTTTTCTTTTTTTAAATACCCCATCTTCCATATTAAATGCTTGTGCTTATACAGTATGTTTAAATGGCAGCAGATCCACAAGAGAAGCATTAGGAAACCACATTGTACTGAAATACATATGGCAAAAGGACGACCTGGATACTGGCACTAATAACAAATAATGCCATTTTATATCTGACCTTAAATGGTCAAATCCCATATAGGCCTACTATAAATGTTTGGGTGGTATATATAGGACGTTTTGTTTTTACAAATCAAGCAGAAATGTAGTCTTATTTAGTATTCCTCCAAAAGGAGGACATTTGATGGGGACTATTTTCAGCATTGGAATAATCCACATGTGATCCTCTAGTGCAGGGGTGCCCACACTTTTTCAGCTTGGGAGCTACTTTTAAAATGACCAATCTGTGTCGCGAGCGCGGGAGGGGGGGGGTAGTGGACTAAACGGCAGATAAACTGTGGCGCGCTTACACGCTTACGCTTCAGATGAGGAGGTGAGGCCCCCTCATCACTGCATGAACCCGTATGGCACAATACAACTCAGACTGGCTTACCTGTACGTCAATCAAGTGGCAAATGCCATAGTAAGGATGGATGATAGGCTAACTTTAAACACATTTTAACACTACCTTTGCGATCGACGTACAGTATTGGGCACCCCTGCTCTAGTGAATATGTGATTGATTCAAAATAAACAACGGTTTGTGTTCATTATAATATAAGTCACCAAGGGCAACAGTGTGAATGTATTGTAGATGTTGACAACAATGGAGCTCTATGGTACAGACGAGGAAGATAGAACAGCTTTGATTCCCACCACACAGTGTTTGTTCGTAGAAGCATTTGCCAATGGTTTTGAAAGAAACATGCTTATGTGTGATGAGGCTGCAGCAGTTGTAAACAGCAGGGTGGGAAACAGAGTAAGCCAGGCAGGATTTGAACATTTTGAAAGCAGCTGCCCTGAAATGCTTGGCAGTTTCAGGGTAAAAGCACTGAGACAGACAGGGACAGCTTTAAGTAGCTGCATCAAGCTTGCAATATGATGAAATGCTACACTAGAAAAATCACAGTAATCTCCCGACACACACTTGAGGTCACGACCACACTTACTTTTGAGCTCAGTGAGCGTTTCTCCCAGCATCCTTAGCTCTTTGCTCTTCTGCTCAACATCCTGCTCCGTCACCAGGCCGTGATTCACCGAAGAGTTCCTCTGCAGCTCCTCCACCGACTTCTCCAGGTCACTGTGGGGGACCAGGGTCACAGATTCATATCCCTCCATACTGTCCCTGTGTGTTCTCCTTTATTTATTGTGTTTTTTGAATAAATGAACGGTGATCTGAACTCACTGCAGCTGCTGGATGAGCAGCTCCTCCTGGTTGAGGTACTTGAGTCTCTCCTCCTCCACCAGGAGGCGCTGTCTCTGGAGCGGGTCCTCCTGTGTGCGCATGGCGTCCAGCATCATGAGGCTGAGCTCGGACTCTGTCTGCCTCAGCAGGGCCAGCACTGAGTCCTGGTTCTCCAGCTGGGACACCAAGAAACATGGTATATATTACCTTTCTGTCATGTGTATTTACACTGTTTCTAAACTAATGTATGAGCAAGCACGCCCTAACATACATTAGATACTAGGTAAGACTAGGGCTGTAACCAACATTTTCCATAATCACCAGGTAATTTCTATATAAATAAAAAGAAAAAAATAGTGAAAACATCCAAGTGAGTATCTTTGAATGTTTTTCTTTTGTCAGTTCAAAACCCAGAGATGTTCACCTTAGAAAGATTTAAAATAGGAAAAAGGAAATCTACATTCCATATATCCAATATTTAGGCAATTTTTTTATAAAAATGTACCATTACATATTTGATTATTATAAGAGTGGGTTAAGGTATATTTTGGGTGGATTGACATATAATTGCAGCTGTAGTTGAAAAGAATGAATTGTACTGTCATTTCTACTTTTATAAAGGTTATTATCCTTGAAATCAATTTAGAACCGCATCTCTAAAATGTTACATACAAATGCATTAAATTGAAGTTAAAGGCATAAAAACGACTTACTACTCACAAGATTATAAAGGCGTTACGGTGGAATGTACAATGTTTCATGTAAAATATGAACGTTCGGGCTCTTGGTCGATAATAACAAAAGGATGTCAGTTCATATTTATTTTTCTTACATGCTGTTTGATAACCTGAGTTAAGAAGTGGGAGTATAGAGAATCTACCACAGAGCTTTTCTAAAGTCATAATAACAATATATATATTTAAGATTGTTTTCTAAAAGAGACAAAGATGTATAGAGCCATAATGCCTGTGATCTGGTCATTTCCTTCACACACCTGCATGTTGCGTAGCTGCGACAGTTGTTTGCGCAGTGCATTGGTGTTCTGCTGCAGGCCTTGGAGGTGGAGCTGCATCTGCAGACGGGACACTGTCACGGGCTGGTTCCCCCCCGAGGATGGAGGTGGCATTAGGGCCAAGGGAGCCGACGGTGTCAAAGCTGCCGAGCAAAATAACAGGACTTTAACTCAGGTGATGTTCTTTCAGATCACAGCGGAACTAATAGAAGTTGTCCCGAAACACCGTTAGCAAATCGAAAGCTAGCAAATTGAAAGCTAGCAAAGAAGCGTGCAGAGAGCATGAGAGAAACAAATCCCCAAAGGTTTGTTTCTCATGACCTCAGATGTCCATCCAGTAGAAAAACAATTTGTCTGACTGGACACAGGATGTTTCCAGGATTTGGCAGCAGCAATTCAGGACAAGTTCTATCTGTGCTGTGGGTCAAGGGTGGAGATTACAGTCTTATGGAGACTTAACAATGATGAACAGCATGGAAGCTTCATGGACAAACAGGATCAGCAGTGAAAAACTGAATTTCCACGACATCCAACTCTCCCATTATGAAAGAGTCCTCTGACAGCCGAAAATATCAGTGTGTTTCCAACTGAGATAATTACGGTGGCCGACAGCAGCAAACGCGTTACAACAGCCTAAAACAGAAACACGGTCCAGTTTAAAAAACAATGAAAAAACCCCTCACATGTACCAAAACACAATCAAATGAAGAAACACTTTCACTAACTCATCCGCAGAGTTTACTGAAAGCACTGCAAAAACAAAACGCTGCAAATAAAAAAACACTCAAAACACAACGGAAACGGGGACACTAAAAAGTGACGCACACAGCTGGGAATGGAGCGCTTGTTCAGGGGTTATAAAGTTGTCCAACTGTCAGTGGAAACTTGACTAAAATCTAAGTTTTATTGGCCTATTTTAACAATGTGATATGATTCCTTCCGATATTATTGCAGATCTCACTAGCTAACATAGCTAACATAGCTAACCTAGTCATTTCAAATATACTGACAAAACACTTACAATTATGAAACAGACTAACTGCGAGAATACTTTGGCGTCCCCGTTTCCGTTGTGTTTGAGCTTCTTGAAGCATTTTGTATTTGCAGTGTTTTGTTTATTACATTAGTTGGCTAATGTTTTCTAAATGCTGTGCGTTAGTTGTCAAGTTGGTGAAGATGTTTCATTATTTGCATGTGTTTTGGCACATTTGTGTTTTTATATGTACATCGTTTTTGAAAGTGCAGCTTGTTTCTCCTAATGGGAGTGTTTCGGGCCGTTGAAGCACGTTAATACCTGTAATACATTTGATATGTCGATGAATGCTATAACATTAATTTGGGTGTTGAGTCACACTCACCATGCAGAACAAAACACAGGGAAAATAACTCCAGGACAATTAATCGATAACAGATTTTAGAGTTGCATTTTGAGGCCACTTTCATCGACTAAAGTCTTCTGAAGAAGAAGAAGATTCAACTTATTGTCATTACGTAGTACAGGTACTATGTAACGAAACGGTTTCTCTGCATTTGACCCAGCCTAGTGTTAGGAGCAGTGGGCTGCCATTATGTACGGCGCCCGGGGAATCGCTACCATACCAACAACATTCAACGTCATATCCTCAACACCTCTGCAGACAAGGTGATGACTTCCCACTGTAGCTGCAGTGTGTCCTAGAAACTCTCACCCTGCAGACACGGTTGGGTTTTTGGGTTTATTTACACGTAATTCAAGAGAGCTTCAGAGGAGTCTGACAGACACAGTCGTCCTGAATCTAACAGGAAGCACAAAGACAGTCTGAACTGATAACAGTTTGAGTCAATCAGACTAAAATAAACACTGAAGATATACACTTTCTTATTCTGGCAAACAATACCTGATCTTAACAGGAGAAAGATAGAACCATAAAGGGCTGAACTCATAGAAAAGTGTGAAGGATCACTGAAATTGTCGAAAAAATAAATGTTCAAACCAAACTAGGTCTCCAAATAGGAAAGTCTTTAAATTTCATCAGATTAAGAAGATCCAGGCTTATCTATAGTTTGACATGGGATCAAACATTTCTGATAACAAAAATAATTCAATTTCTCTTGGGTACTTCAAAACAGAGAAGCTGCAGCTCAAACCGAGTACTTAATCTAAAGAAATCTATGTTGCTTTCAAAACATGCAGCCTTTTGAACACTTTTAAAGATTGATCCTGCCATAAATAACCCACACAAAAAGACACGTTTTTTCCCAAAATGAATGCAACTCTAAAGGTTTCTGACTCAAGAAGACAGGAAAGGAGGGGAAGTGAAAGACACCAACTGAGAGGGAGGTAAATCTTCCAAGACACACAAACATGTTTTAGGAGCTAAAAGCGAGAGAATAAAGACAACAGGGGGAAGGCTAGACAAGGGAACAAGTACCAGACACTCCAGGAACTCATAGCTACCTTTCTTTTTTTTAGTTCGTCCAGCTAAAACAAGAAGCATGGGCACCAGTTACACAGCAGCACAACGAATGAAGAAGCTTGCAGAGTCAGCCATTACGATCACATATGGGAGGCTCTTAAAAATTATGCAGAGAAAATGAAATAGCGGCAGTTCTGTGAGAGCAGGAAGAGCCAATTTATGTGGCTATCAAACAGGCAGCAGTGGGGAGCAGTGACAAGCAGTGATAGGGAATCGTTTTTTTTTGGTAGTGAGCACTTACTGTCGGTTCCCGAGCAGTCACTGGCTGACTCAATCTTCTCCCTGGAAGAGGCAAGTGTTAAAGTACTTACAGCCAGAACACACTATCGACTTAGTGACTGAGAAGCTGTTGATATATGGACGAAAATGTGGGGAATATATGGGCTACGTGCAGGTTTATTCACAATGTACTTAAGTCTGACATCACTCGTTTAGTATTCCTGACATGATCTACAGTATTGGGCAGGCAGTTAATATGTATTTCAGACATGAATCGTGATCATTTGCACACATCAGTGCCATATTCTGTCGTGTAAAACTGTAATTTACATGTATAGGAAAAGTAAATACAGGGCTGTACCAAATGTCATTTTAAAATGTAATTTGAAGCTTCAATTTAGGTATTTAAATGACATCATTACCCTAAAATAATGTTTAAATCCTCATAATAAATCTTCAATTTTATAAGAAAGATGTGTATCATTGTAATTAAATAAAAAGCAGAGTAATTTCTTTGATAAAAAAACATTATAAATTATGGAACTAATTTGATCTATTTTTATCTCTTTTTTTATACTTTTGGACTTATTGGAAATGTTTGGGTGACATGACTTGGAAACAATCATACACAGCCACAATTGGAATCGAATTCTTCAAACGTATATAACAAATAATATAATGGATGATCATTTGTTCATGTATAAGAGTTTAAATATAATGAAAATAAATGCAATACATCAAATGATCTGCATAGAGTGCCACAGTGACGCGTCCTAAAACCCGGAAGTAAGTTAGCATTTTACCACTTCCTGTTCCTTCGACAAAAACCAATGCAATTTCTCCATAGGATTTTGGAAAATAGCTCGAAATAAGGTCTGTGGTTGACACAAATTGAAGAGAAAGATCACGTTTTGTTCAGCCGGATAATATCCACATGTCTACCCTACTTTTATAATTTTTTAATCATAAATCTAATCGATAGATTGCATTGGTTTTTGTCGAAGAAACCGGAAGGAGTTTACTTCCGGGTTTTAGGACGCGTCACTGTGGCACTGTATTGGAATGCCGATTAAGAGTTTGAATGTTGACGTTATAAATAAAGATTTGAAGCTTTGAACTACTTGATACAAGCCCTACAGTAAATAAACGTCCTAGTTTTACAACAATATGTATAACAATACACATGGTCTAATTGTTTTACGAAGTGTCATATACAATAATAAAAACGATCACTGAAAAATGCAGATGTAGAACAGTCTGTATAAAAAGAGTGTCTTAACATACTGTATGTGTGTATGTGTGTGTGTGTGTGTGTGTGTGTGTGTCTTACGGGCTTTCTGCCTCAGGCGCTCTGCTCAGTACTCTCTGCAGCAGCCCGGTCAGGCTGGCTATCTGCTTCTCCATGGCCTCCATACGCTCCCTGTTCCATACAGACACATAAATAAAATACTATCCCATAATGCTTAATAAATATTAATAAACCCTCCCAGTGTTCAAACTACATTCCCATTTTAAGCCCCATTTGTACGTTGAAGGAAGGACTTTTGGTATGATTTTCATCCTACTCCAAGATGAATGTTTGTACTTGTTAAAAAAAGCTAATGAATAATGACACGTACTGGAAAACATGTCATATATGTTATTATGGTTATACCCTCAAAAGTACATGCATTAGAACCACTAGATTCACAACAGAATGTATGAATTGTAGAAAGAAATCAATTATTTAAATGGAATTGCCATGCTCAGTTAAGTACATCTCCCACAAGCCTTGTTGTTGTTTCTTTGACCCACAGCTAACTGTCTGATCTCTGAGAGCTTAAAACCCTACATTAGGAAACTGTCATCTAAACTATGTCACAGCCTTTCATTTTATATAATCCTGCTCTGCTGGAGTATATACTTCACTAAAAAAGATTGTTGATGGCACAAAGAAACAAACATTGTCAAATGGGGTTCCATATAACAACTATAATTATTTATTAAATAACTACTAACTAATTATTTTCCAAATTAATTGATTAATCATTTAGACTATAATGTCAACAAATTGCGGATAATGTCCATCTGAGTTTCTGTAATGTTGGGTAATTTATCTAAATGTCTTTTGTTTTCAGTCCAAAACTAATCCACTTCAGTTAATATTCACTAATGGATTAAATACAAAGAAAAGGAAGAAAATCCTCACATTTGTAAGGATGAAAACAATCATTTCTTCCCACTAGGGAAAGACTTTTAATTTAAGCTACTAAGTGTATGCATATTCTTTACTTAATGTATATGTAGCCAATCAGAGTACCCAATTCAAAATTCAAAACTCTGCGTATCAACAATGACTGAATATGTTCACCCAGAAAAAAAAAGTCCTTGGCTTAGACGCCACAAACATTATTTAACACTAACTGTGATTATATCAACATGCAACATTGGTTAGAATGAAACTGATCAAATGAACACCAGCATGCAGAATTAAGTGTTGAGAAATACTCCCTACCTGGTCTCTGGCTCGTTCACCAGCAGAGTTGAGCCAAAGCCCACCCCGCCCCCTCCCTCCCCCATCGGCCCGGCCATCAGGCAGAGCTGCTCTGAGGTGAGCCCCATCCCTGGGCCCTGGCCCCGCGCTTTGGGGCTGTCCCCGAACACAGACGAGGACACAGAGTCCCTTCTCAAACTCTGCCTGCCCGGGGAGCCCCGGCCGGGCATGGTGCCCCCGTAGGACTCCCTCATGTCGGGGATCTTCTGTGGGGAAGAGGGGGGAGGCACCCGCAGCCCCATGGCCAACATGGACGCAGCGTAGGCGTCGTTGTAAAGCGGTCCCCCGGGTCTATAGAGGGCCCCGCTTTCCATCAGCTCTCCTTGTAAAGCGGCTGCTGTGTAGGAGGTGAGTGATCGCATTGATCCTGCACCCCCACCTCCCCCCCCTCCTCCTCCTCCCCCCCCTCCTCCTCCTCCTCCTCCTCCTCCTCCTCCTCCACGCCGGTACAAGGAGCCGTAGGGGTCGGCTCTGGCCGGTAGAGGGGAGTGAGGCCCTGCGAGACTAAGCCTCCCCGGGTCCGGGCCCAGAGAGTAGGGGTCAGCGTAAATCCCCCCTCCCCCGCGGTCGTCTCCCCGCAGCAGCACCATGCTCCTGGACCCCCCCACCTCATCGTCTGGCTTCACGTCCCTGCGCTCCAGGATGGCGCTGGACGAGGCGAAGCAGGCCTGCTGGGTGTGGTGCGGCTGGTGGAGCTGGGGCTGCTGGTGGGGGGAGGAGTGGTGGGACTGGGAGTGCGGTTGCTGGTGCGGGTGGGGCAGGGAGTGGGTGTGGTGGGCCGGCCCGGCGTAGGAAGATGGCCGACCGCCGCCGCTGTAGAGGAGGCGGGTGCGGGACGGGGAGCCTTGAGGGGAGGCCGAGGAAGACGAATGCTGGGAAGACATGGGGGGGTTGCTCAGGCGGCGGTTGGGTGAAGAGTCCTGAGGGGCATAGACCATCTCCCTCTGTGGAATCACCAGAGAACACACGCTACTGTCATGTTTCCACTAGCTCAGTCACAACCATCACATTATCAATTCATCCTCTGCAGCACCGGGTTCAACCAAGTGTTGCTGTTACTAATATCTAACATAGTTAAAAAAATTAAAAATTAAAGGTCCCATGTCATGCTTTTCCGGTTATTACCCGTCCCCTTGTGTGTTATGTAGCTTTTTCTGCATGTAAACGGTCTGCAAAGTCACAAACCCTCAAAGTACACCCTGTAGCGAGTAAAACTCTGACACAGAAAAGACCTGTCTATGCTGCCCCAGAACGCCTCGTTGGAGATATTTATTTTTCCATTATTTTCTTCCGGGGCATACTGACGTAACGCTGCGGAGCTCCGCACACACACACACTCACTCAGCCTTATCTTTTCTCAGCCGCGGTGCTGCGCGGAGCTCCGTACACACACACACTCGGAGTTCAGGCTGTGAGTGTGTGTGTGCTCAGACTGAGCTCCGCGGTGTCTCGCTGTCTCGCAGACCCCACGCAGCAACCAGGAAACGACACCAGTAAGCCAGCTCACACTGCCCGCTCCTCGAGCCTCAAAGGGCGGAGCAGTGAGCCCCGCAACGTCCCGCCAACACGGCACCCAGACCCCACGCATGTTTGTCATTACTGGTGTCATTTTCTGGTTGCTAATGTCATTGTAACACATAATCACTGATGTTCCGCTGTAACGGTGGTGGACTCATCAGAACAGAGTGGGCGAGCTGACCAATCAGTCAATGGAATTATGATCAGTAGAAATGGCCATGACATGGGACCCTTAACTTTATTAGCAGCATGTCAACATAACCCGGTGCCAAATGTTTAATATTTATTAAAGGTCCCATGTCATGGCCATTTCTACTGATCATAATTCCGTTGTTGAGGTCTACTAGAATAGATTTAAATTGTGCAATTTTCCAAAATCACATTGGTTTCTCATACAGCATCTCTGTATAGCATGTGTATTCACTCTCTGTCCTAAACGGCTTGTTGGAGCTCCTGCCCCCCCCCCTCCCTATGAGCCCACTGTGCTCTGATTGGTCAGCTCGCCCACTATGTTCTGATGAGTCCACCACCGTTACAGCGGAACATCAGTGATTATGTTTTACAATGACATTAGCAACCAGAAAATGACACCAGTAATGACAAACAGATGAGAATGCTGCGTGGGGTCTGGGTGCCGTGTTGGCGGGACGTTGCGCGACTCGCTGCTGTGAGGAGTGGACAGTGTGAGCTCTATTACTGGTGTTGTTTCCTGGTTGCTGCGTGGGGTCTGCGAGACATCGCGAAACTCAGCCTGAACTCAGCCTGAGCACCATGGACGCAGGAAGGGGGGGTGCTGAGGGGGCTGCAGCACCCCCATCTGCGAGGCTCCACTAGCACCCGCACCCCCCCCGCACCCCCAAACGCGGCGCACCTACAGTGTAAGCGCGTCACAGTTTCGCCGCTGAGAGAGTGTGTGACCAATGGGTCCATTTGGGTATGGGCACGTCACTGTACCCAGCAAGAAAACAATGGAAAATGAGAAATCTCCAACGAGGCGTTCTGGGGCAGCATAGACAGGTCTTTTCTGTGTTAGAGTTTTACTCGCTACAGGGTGTACTTTGAGGGTTTGTGACTCTGCAGACCGTTTACATGCAGAAAAAGCTACATAACACACAAGGGGACGGGTAATAACCAGAAAAGCATGACATGGGACCTTTAAAGTGAGATATTTGTACATTTTTTCTTTGGGTGTTTATTTCTAATTTAAACCGATTATGGATATTTCTTTTACTTTATTCAGAATAAATTGTCATTGCTATTTCAAAGGGTGCAGATGCATTTTTATGATTTTACATTATAATTATATCAGTGGCATAAAATTACAATTGTTTCATTTAGTGCAAATATTGTTGGAAAAATATATTGTCCAACAAAATGAGCCATTGCGACATTCGGCCTGAACAGAACTTACTTTAGTTGTACTTTCAACTCTAGTATTACATTAATTGTATGACCCTTCCCAACATTAATGATCTTCTGTGTTACATTTAGGATGGGTTAAGTGTCTTTAGCTGGTTCAAATAAATCAGAAGGAGTTGCTTGATAATGCTTGATGAGCACTGATGAAATTGTACATGATGACTTACCCTTCAAAGTCTATTTGAATTTGTACTTTTATATCAGGAAAAGCAAGAAATGTTCTGGCGGGTAGTCAGTAAAACGTTCCCAGTGCAGTTTACTGTAACTTTTTACAACACTTCATAGATGCAGTTTCAAGATTGACAGGAAAGTCTCCAAATTGCCCCTTAAGTGCGTTGTGAGTTGCACTTGATGGCTTATTGACGGACCGAGCATGATGGAATTATCTTTTGGCATCAATCCCACATTTTCAGAGAGGAAGGCACAAACAAAGCGGAGCAGAACGGAGAGTGTAAGTGAACGCATGTCGAGTATACCGGCCAAGAGTAATAGATCCAGTGAGGAAGACACAAAAGAAGACATTGCTGTAATTGCTTATGACGCACAAAGCCATCTCCTGGAGACGATGCAAATGGTAAAGCCAATATTTCCACACAATAACCCTTAGGCCTCTTACAACAACACCCCGTGGACAGCCTCGCAGCAGACTAATGACTCTAGTGACATCATCTTCCATCTTGTATCTTAGCAACCGCCTCGCATCTAAAACCGTCCCTTAACAGAAGACATTTCATTCAACCTCCAAGACCCCTGAAGAAGACGTCTATCGCAGGTACGCTCCGGGAACATTTGTGCTGTGGCCTTTCTCCCGCTGAGCAAAAGTCTGACAATCAATCTGATCCTTAACCACAGCCTGTCCTCGGGACCTGGCTGGATGGACAGCAGTAATCCTGGTCATGCTTTTGTGGGCTGCAATCAGGGGATCTGTGCTCTGCTGGTTCAATAAGCTCTCACACACACACAATGTCCTAGTCACTCACCTCGGTGATGCTAGAAGCTGCAATGTTTGAATATAGCAAAAACTAAAACACAAATGTTAATGGTTTTAGAAAGGGGCTAAAGTACCAAGTATGTTTTCTTATTCTCTACAACAAAGTCTATGAACATGTGTATGAATGTGCAAAATCATCCGTCTATTGTGGTCGAACTATGACAAAAAATAAACTGTATGAGCAATTACTTTGTTATCAGCTATAATCTAACTTTGAATATATTAATGCTTAGAGTTTCTTCTTTCTTTTTGGGTTTAATTTTGCTCTTTTTCTGTTGTGATTTGTTTATACTGTATGTACAAATATGAGTTTATATTCTGAACAAAGTGCATCTGTACCTCACACTCGTAACTCAAGGTAAGCCTGCTGTTTGATAAGGCTGTAAAACGCTAGAAAAACGATAGAGCCGTGGACAAAATGAACACAACGACTGACCTCACAGGGCGAACAGCTGACCTCTAAAATATTGGCGGGCAGCAGTGAATCATGAATAGGAGCAGGCAGAGAAGCATTGACAAACAATAAAACCCCAGGGTGTTTGATTGACGGCAACAAAAACGTGGTAAAAAAAGCCCCGCTGACGACAACACTCCATCTCAGCTGCTTAGCATGCAAAGTCATTTTGTGAACTTCTTCTCTCTGTAATGTAATTTATCTGGTTTATAATTTATTTTTATTCTATAAAAGCAGCATTCTCTAACATTTTAAATTGCCGCGTTCTCATTTCCATAATGGCCCTGTAATTAGACGGCAGCAAAATGCGAGGTCTTGTGCAGAAAAAAGTAGCGCTGAGGGAGAGTGAGTGACATCAGACGCTCTGTCTATCAACTGCAAATGGTTTGTTTTTCTCCCAGCTTTAATTAAATGGATACATTGTTAATAATCATGCTTATCAGGATAATGCCACATTAAATATTTAATTTGCCAGCAGCTCACTGATAGACTAAGATAACATCCTTTTGTGGCGCATCGATAAGAGCTCAGCTACTGAACAGGAGGGATGTTACCGGTACGAAGACAAAGGAAGAAAAAAAATCTTCAAAACAGTCTTCAAACAGCTCTTACTTTCAAAATATTGTTTATACCACCACGGCCAGAACTATTACAAGAAACGTGCTGCAGCCTGGGAATTGTCCAATTAAAAATAACAAAGAACTAGAATCCAAAATGAATACATTGTAAATGTGCTGCAAATGGAAAAGTTGGAACAGGAAGTCAACACAAACACAGAAACTACACTCCAATGTGATGCTCTTTTATAATAAAAGCAAAATGTATTTGTTTTGGCTTTCCGGCAGCACATCTATTTTATTTGCAGAACGTCTCTGTTCTTGTATTTCTTTTGTACTTTGAAAAGCGTTTTTTAAATTGGCTCAATTTAGAAAGCTGCAACAAAAGTTTCTAATATAAAAGTTAGGGGGGGGGGACATAGCTATTTAGCTAGCTAGCGCCTTGTAATGGTACGTATGTGCACATGGGTGTCAGGGTCAGGTTGGGGCTCTTCAATGACATCACCACCCGTCTCCAAACATCCCGATCATCCGCCAGTCTCATGCACTCCACCACCTTCCGTGTCAGCCCGTGACATCATTGGGCCCAAAAATACTTTTTGCCATTGGCTAACATTGGAAAAAAAAAACTAAATCAGAGGAAATCCAGAGTTATTTTACCTCTCCATGAATCAGACTGAGCGGAGAGATTGGAGGCGGGGCTTAAGGGAAAGCTAAACTGCACATGCTCTATGGGCCCACATACTGGTACTTTTGCTCTCAAGAGGCACAGCCCAGCAACTTTCATAGGAATTACGAGGGCCCGCTTCCAACGGTGTATCCTTTTCTCTTTATAATCCATGTTCCTCGACCTCTTCTTCCGTCAACTACACCGTGCATGATGGTATTTGTTAGCGACCCGTTGGTTATTGTGATGTGTCCAAACCACTGTGACTTTCGCAGTCTGGCAGTTTTCGTCAGCGGTTCGAAAAACCCTGCCAGTGTCTGTATCTCCTGTTTCACAGAGTTGTTGTACGGTGCATTTGCCATGTCACCCCGAGGCTCCTCCTGTAGCAATGCATTTCAAAAGGCCTCTACTCTCTTTCCCATATTTGTGTTGTATGTCCAAGTTTCGCATCCACAGTGTGCAATGGATATAATCAGTGAGTGCATCGGTTTCATTTTTCTGGCAGGGGAAATGTTCTTACGATTCCATATATTATTTAGTTTGGCAAGCTGTGCTGTTGCAATGGCCAATCTTCTCCTCACTTCCAAGTGCACATGGGTGACAATTAACAATTATGTTGGAAAGTGTTTTGTCCTGAGCTTAGTTAAAAAACATTACATTCAGTAAGTTGAATCAATTTTTAATGTACCAACTACTACTACGATCATATGATCTGGACCTCAGATAAAGTGTTTACGCTATTTTACATTCTGCCGGCATTCAGCCGAGTCAGCACTGGAAGTGAAGGACTGGCACTGATCCAGGAACAGTAGTGCTGGAGTAAGTAAGGTCACATGACTCACTCACTCTCAGGGAATGTAGACTAATTTATGCTTGGACACATTCTGTAAAGCAAACTTGTGTTTGAAAACACAGAAAATAAATAATGTGGGATTTGTGGGAGATGGATACTGGCGTGTGGGTGAATTAATGACTATTTTCAAGGGAAAGAATTAAGTATGATTATTTAGTCAGCTGCTATCAGCCTAAATGCCAGAAAGAGAACGTGTTTGTCTCGCTTCCTAGACTATGAGTCACAAGCCAGCTGCACAGAGAGTGAATTGTTAATGAAGAGTTAATTAAGGAAAAGGTGACTAAGACTGAAGCTGGATCATTTTTCTTCATCAGTTTTGGCACCATAGTTAAAACCTTATGCAATGAAAAGTATGGAAATGTAAAACTCAGTGAGTAGGGCTGCTAAAGACAATTTGTTTCATCATTTACGGGGTAAGGGTAACTCAGTGAAGCAGAAAAACACAATTTAACTCCTGAATATTTACCCGCAGGTCTCCGTTGGCCAGGTGTGGGTGTTGGTGTCCGGGGTAGGTGCCGTAGATGGGCTCTTTGCAGTAAATCTTAATTACGCAGCGGTCCTGAACGTCCCGCGGGTCCTCCAGCTCATAGAACACATTACGGGTCTCATCTTTGATCAGCAGAGCTGTGTTGGGAGACCTGAACATCAATAATAATCAAAACAAGAACAAAATAAGAATCAAACGCTGATAAATAGTCCCATGCAAAAACAATTTAAGCACCTATTACCCACTAATAATCACTGATGTACAGACAAGGGAGGATTACAAAATCTTACTGCATGAGGCCTTGTAATGAGAGAATCAACTGCGCAGTCTTATATTGAATTCATCAGCTGTGTATTATTCAGTTTGGAGTTAAGAGAGTCCAGCAGACAGTTATAATGTGAATTGATAGCTAAGAAGCTTCAGATCAGATTCCACAGATAATATAATAATAATAACACCTTAATGAAAATAACTACTTGGAACAGTTTCAAAAAATAGACTTCAAATCAAACAGAATATTTATATTATGACGTTGCTTCCTATATACAGTAAGAGATTATATTTTGTGTTTAAGCTAGATCACTCAGGTACCAGATTACCGTCTGCTTTGTGCCCCTTAACTAGGAACTAGCTTTCTCTGGATATTGCAGTGGCAGTTTTTTTTCTATTTACTTGTATTTATTGATTTTTAACATTTTATTGTTGGAATTGTATTCTTGAAAAGTTGTTTTTATTGTTTATTTAATTAGTTTTCTATATGAAGCTATTTGGTCTACTTGATTGTATGAAAGGTACTATATTTTTCTTGTGGAAAAAGGTTAGAACTCCTATATCAAAATCTGTAGGCTACAGAGAGGTATATAAAGCTCCTGTTAGTAACACACTACAGGAAAAGCCCACTTTGAGGCTTAAAGCTTGGACGCTGTTGTCTCAAATATGTTTTATATTAGCTTATCCTCTCTTGGAAAATGTGTAAATAAGATGTAGCATTCTTTTAGAGAAAGAATTAAGAGAATTCAGTTTTCAGTTAAACCTAAATGATTGTTTAGACTCTCAAGTATAGATGTTATGCATGTTTTCCTGTTGCCTGAGAGTCTATTTCTGCCTCCTTTGGCTTTATTGATTTCTATCTTTTTTTTCCTCTTTATTTCCTGCCATCATTCTCTATCCGTTTAGAAGATATACAGTTCAATTACTTGTGTACAGACACACTTTTATTGAATGCAGGCGTACCTGAGCATGGCCATGGTGAGCCTCTGGGGGAACATGTGCACGATGAGGGCCCTCAGGGTCTCCAGGCTGGTCAGCTCGTGGGTCAGGTGCACCCTGCGGGTCTCCTCCCCGAGCTGGAGGAACAAGATCCCTGCATTTATGGATGGGGAGGAGCAATGAGGGGGATCCACGGTGGTTGAAGGGGGGTAATGAAATTCAATGTCAGGGGTGAAAATAGAAAGTGGAGGGATATTTTTTACCTTCAAAATATTCATCTTTTTGTTGATTAAAGGAGTAATAGTCAACTAAATACCAATTTTAGCTTGAATACGCCCACTTTGCATATTCGAACTTACCCCGCAACCATTGACACCCCCCCCCAATCCCCCCACAGTTCTGAAAAATCGTTCCTCTAGCCTTACACTGTCTTTCCCATGACTTGCTAAATACACGTGGCAGTTATTAAAAATGTATTTTTTCATACATAACCCTTGTTTGATATGTACAATTGCTGGTTAATGGCTTGAATTTCTAAATATTCTGGTACTTCTACAAGACAACTTGATCTACTCATGGTGAAATGCACTCAAACTCTTGCAAAATTCAAATCAATGTTTCCTACAACACTTTCTGTTGATTTATGTATAAAAAAAAACGTGATGTTGCCTTAATCTTTCAAAATGTTTGGGGATTTGATAATGCAAAAACAAGACTGTTTATACAATGTTTAGAAAAAAGAGTATTTTCTGTTTTTGAAGATGCTTTTACAACTTTTAAAAGTAACTTCTGCTAACCAACAATGCTCCTAAGGTTGTCTTCTGTGCCATCTTATCTACATGTATCACACCTGAACAAATAAAAGAGAGTCCCATGAAACCACACTTGATTATCATCAGTATATTAGCTGGAAGCAGCAAGGCAATGTGAGCACAGTGAGGATTCACACCAGAGTTTCAAGTAATATTAAGTGAAGACGCATAAATTAACAGTGTTAATGTTGTTGAGGTGGTTCTTGAAAAGTAAAGAGAAAGTCACGTTAGAGCTTATGCAGGGTTACATAATGCATTCAGTTAAACGTGGCCTTAAACTGACATAAAAATGCACTTATTTCCAAAGCTTTAATATTCTTTTGGAAGTTGGAGAAATAGTTTTAGAAAAATGTGAACATTTTATTATATACTCCGTCACTCATTGGTTGCATTTTGTTCAACCTTTTTAGTTTTTTTTGGCTTCTTGCCAAAGCCATTAATAAAGATGACAGGGAGCTTGGAGAGATCATTTGGAGGCATTAGTCAGCTCTGTTTGTATTGAGCGATCCTATAGACTGAAGGCTGACTTGGACTTGACATTCAGGGCTGAGCAAGTTAACTAGATTAAAACTTGATGCCTTCAGTCAACCTAAATATGTGATGACCTGGAAGAGGACACTGCTATAAAGTCACAGCTAATCTGTCACGTCCAAACCAGAGGAATACATTAGATGCATATACAGGTCCAGTTTCTGATTAGCTCTCAACTTGTCAATCAAAGGGATGTTGTCAATAGACAGGTCATACCCACGTTCATCAAGGCTGAAACCAGCATGATAGGAACAGGGTATAGATCAGCAAGACTCAAAAAGCGGCGTCAAACATAGCCACAACTTCCTCTACTGCCGTCATGCTAAACGACTTAAAAGGCATTAAGATAGGTGTCAGGCAAAATGTGTACAATATGTCGGCTTTACAGACATTTTCTTTATATGGATTATAGCCCAGAGATATGGCAGAGGACATGAATAATATTTTTTCTCATAAATGAAAGGTTTTGCCTGGTCTTTTGGTCATAAAACAAAAATAATTACACATAAAAGACTTTGTCCGTTGATGGCGCTAGAATAAATATCAGATGATAACCAAATCGAACACACAATTTATCGTGAGGGGAATATGATTGTAAGTACCAAACATAATGGCGGTCCACCCAACAAAACTTTTGTCATCATTCACCTGATGGTGGATGATGACAAATCTGAGGGTAAGAGCCATCTTCTGGGGATCATAAAAGGCGTGTGGCGTAGTGGACTAGTGCGTTGGTGTTCGGATCAGGGGGGCACAGGTTCAAACCCCACTGCAGTCAGCATGTCGTTGTGTCCCTGGGCAAGACACTTCACCCCAAATTGCTCCTGTGGGGATTGCCCACAGTATTGAGTATGTAAGTCGCTTTGGATAAAAGCGTCTAACAAGTGACATGTAATGTAGTGGCAATGCATCCAATAAGTGTTGCGATCTTGACCAAAGTGAAGACCTGACCAACATTGCCATCCAAAAAAAACATCCAGTGATGGCATTTTCCAAAACTTGAAGGTTTATATAGATAGGAAACAAATGAAACACACTGGCATCTCTAGGAAAAACATAAAAGAGGTAGTTGTGACTTTGGGGAAAAAATGGGCGTCAACCAATCAGAGGGTCAACGGTTTCGATCCCCAGCCCCTGCAGCCAACATGTCGAAGTGTCCTTGGGCAAGATACTTGATCCCAAATTGCGCCAAGAGGCATCTCTACTATATTAAGTGTATGAAAGACATTTTGGATAAAAATGTCAGCTACATTTGTATTAATCTGTAAATTAACCTAATTTCCACAGCCCTTTTTTAATGTTGTTTTGTAGCACGTTTCTGATCAGAGCTTCCGTTAGATTTTTTTTTTGCCGGTCAACATGTCCGTTAAAGTTTAAATCTTCCGGACAAAATGAGAAAAGTGCCGGTCAAAGGTCTTCTTTGTTATTTATTGAGCTTTAAAACAAATTGATATGATTCGATATTAAACAAACTAATTATAGTAGATTAACTACATTATGCAAAAGTGTACAGTAATTTATAATAACACGGGAATAATAAACGGAGCGCTCTCTCCTTCTCCTGACAGCCCGTCAGTATCATGCAGCTCGCGGATCCAGTAATGAGTGACCCGACAGTAAAACTAAAACATATCTATAACTAGTTTAGGTAGTTTGAGAGGTAATTAAAATAGCTAAGTGTAATTTTCTAACCTGAAGTGTGTGTTTTTCTCCGCTCACCGCTGCAGGTGATCATGCAGAGCTGCGTGTCGACTCGTCAGCAGCAGCTGATCTCTCTCTCCCGTCAGATTAGACTTCACTCGCGTTTATGTCCATATCGATCAGATCTAACTAGTTCTAGCTAATGATAGGACTACCTGCTTATCAAGACACCTAAACAATAAGTGTCGCTATGCAACCGGGTGAGGCCGCAAAGTATAGCGCAGCATTATGCATTTGTTTACATGCCCACCGGAACCCCGAGGCATTACCAACAGATCAACGCACAATCAACCCATACAGGACATCTCTATCTCCACATTAAGTGTTAGACATTAGAATTGACTATTCTTGTCTGTCACATACTCTTTTGTCTGTCACATACTATTCTTGTCTGTCACATAAGTGGCGCAACTGATGCGGTATTGTGCTAAGGGGAAATTATTTTGACCGGACATTTTGACCGGAGAGATTTAGATTTGCCGGTCTTCAGCATATTTTACCGGCTAACGGAAACTCTGTTTCTGATATGTAGATATATAGAGAGAAAATCTATGCTAAGCTAACTCCTGCATTTGCTAACAGATGTCTATGATTGAAGGCAGAGTGTAGCACAAACATTGTGTTAATCAAAATGTTCTGAGTTCTGACCTGGCGCTCGCAGCTTCGCCTGGCTCGACGAGCGTGCCAGTGGCAGGCTCTGGCGGAGCCGGTTCATCCGGTTAAAGCCAATGGGCATATCAGGCTCCGACATGGTCTCCAGATTTTCAGCTGACGCAAAGGAAACCCTGCTGGCCTGATCAGCAAGAGCCGGCTGTGTCGGGCTGAGGCGTGCTACACGTGGGGTGCGAGACTGCAAGACACAAGATGAGAAGATAAGAAAAAGACAGGTTAGTTGCAAAGATAACGACAAATGACGCTGAGACATCTATTGCTGCTTCCATGCAAATACACAGCAAAATGTACACAGGAACAAAAACGAACAACTTGGCCTCAGGAAATCAATGCAAAGAGACAAAACAGGGACTGAAAAAGAAAGCTTTAAGCACACAGGCGCAGAGTAAATAAACAGTTTAGCTCAGACAAAGCAGCCTTTACATTTTACTCTGCCAACAGAAGCTTAACTAAAAGGAAGCTGAATCCTGAAGATAAAACTAGAGCGCCTCAGATAGAGCGGCAGCAGCGTTAAACAAACCTACACTAACCTAGAGTAAAAATACGCCCAGACTGCCCACGGAAAAGTCTACCTGGGACAACAACTACTGAACAATGCTTTTATTACATTTTGAAAGGGGAGAGTGTGTAGAAACGTGGACGAAAAAAAAACTGGGCTGGCTGCGGCAGTTGGCGAGTGTTTCTGAGGGAAGATAAGATAAATGGATGTTATTCTGCAGCGAATAGAAAGCCCTCTAACCCCGAGCAGGCGACAGCGAGCTGTTCCGTAAAGAACAGAACAAACACGAGTATTGTCATGCTAATGACTGCAACAAAGCCTCTATCCGTGATGCAGATTACCGCCAATATTTTACCTGTCCAACTGCAACCATCGAGGGAGCCCAAATTGTGAAGGACCTCTCATTACAGCTCGACCAGGAGCTGCTGCAGCAGGTTGGCTTTTAATGAATCCTCACTGACAGACATTTTCCAGCCCAAAGAATACAGTAATGAGCTCCCACAGTGCTGTGAGAAGCATCGCCTTATGCATCCGTGGGTTTTGCTTAGCCCTCCTGAGTAATGTACGGGTGCACGCTTGATTTCTTGAGGCGACAACAAGCATGCAAGCGTGGAGCTCGGTCAGGCATGTGTACGCAAACATGAAGGAAACACTAACGAATCCAAAGACATAAAAGATTCAAATACACACACATAATGTCTTTGGGATCTTTCTACTGTTTTGAGAGTTCTTAAATTAAAGTGTACACAAACAGAAACACCTTTCCCAAACATTGAGAGCAGCCTGACGGATTATGTGTGCTGCCGCTCATATGTTTGGAGGTTTACGGTCTCAGAGTGAGCCAGACGCCGCACACCTTCTGCCTGGAAACACACAAGAGTCGAGGAACGCAGCATACTGGAATTATAAAGTTTTGGTTTAGTGAAGTGTGAACAAAAAGAGAGCAGATAGGGGTTAGGAAGAGTGCATGTTAGAGTTTATATGCACAGGAGAAATGAAGAAGATAATTTTCTAACAGAAGAAAGAATAAAGGAGAGGAACTTTTCCCTAACTAGGTTCGATTTTCTCTTAGATTTGCAGCAGAGGAACTTTTCTTCAGGTTGAAAGAAAGAAAGTGAGCTTGGGTAACACTGGTGTTTTATTTTCCAGAGCAACAGTCAATAAAGCTTCCCATGGGATGTCTCAGTGAACTCCCTCACTCTTACTCTCTCCTGGCAATCATCCATAAGACACTCACTGCAGTTGTCGTTCTTAAAAAGGCACTATTAGGCTTTTTTGTGTTTTCCCTTTCCTGTAGTGTGTTCTATAGGTTTGTGTGCATGTAAATGGTCTGCAAAGGTTACAATTATTTTCAGAGGGAGTTTCTATCCAACACACTAACCCCTCGATTCCACCGGGTCCGTCTGCGTCGCGTTACGGCCGCGTTACGGCTGCTTTACGGCTGCGCCGCGGCGTTCGCAAAGATCGCGGCCACTCTAGTCAATGGGTGCTATTCCACCAGACGCGCCGCGTTACGGCTCAGAAGCGTCTCGGCGCTGGGCTCTGCTCAAAATAGGATGCAAGTCTATTTTCAACGCGACGCGAGGCGTTGCAGGGGCGCCGGGCAGGAAGTGGACCGGTCAGAGCATCCAGTCAATCCCCAAAATAAACTAATTTTGCAGACCCTATCCCTCCGTAGTCTTTCAAGTAGGAGGAGAAATGCCAGCGTTCTCCTCCGGTTTACAGGCACTGTGTAAATTATATATATAGAATAATTATGATGATGAATGCATTTTTTTACCACTAAAATACAGCAACACATCTTTGATTCATGTCGTTTATAACTGGAATATTACAATTATTATTAACTTTGTCTGTCCAGGAAATATGCCCAAATCAACAAAAACTGCGAGCCGGCAGGCAAGACGCTCCGCTTCTGAAATGCTTCTGAAACGCGCCCGGTAGGGTATGACGCCGGAGGAGGCCGGACCAAAACCGCGGCGCAGCCGTGACGCGACGCAGACGGACCCAGTGGAATCTAGGGGTAACCCCTTTGCCTGAAGCGCCTCCATTAGACTCCCCTTTAAGTGTCTCCGGTAGCTGTGACAAGTCAACACAGGAAATGGTTGATAAACATCATCATAATCACAAAATGTCATGCAATGTAGTGGGTGTACATGATGCATTTTCTTGACTTAAGTGTAATTGAGTTAGGCAGCAGAATGTATTGCTTATTTATCACAATGCCAATTTGCGCGATTAACATAACTGTTTAGTTAGTCAAAACAGTGCTAGGAAAATATGAAAAATTGGTTGAAATTGTTAAATCATGTAGAGAAATCAATTGAATACAGATTCCCAATGTTTCAAAGAAATGGGTTCTATTTGTACTTTTTCCACAGATAGAGGATAATTGGTCAAAAGAACTCAAACGTAGGATTAAAAGGATCTACATTTTTTACATTCAACACACTAAGAGCAGAATCCTTCTTCTCTTCTCAACTCATACCGTGTTTTATTGAAATTGTGAAAACTGACATATAACCGTAGAATCAAACAGAAAAAGAATCGTCTGTTAGTCCTGAAGGATGAGGTGCTGAATACTGAGAGAAACATCAGAGGGATTGTAATATCTCTATTATTCTATCTATTATTCTATGTTTTATTTATTTTTTATTTAACCTTTATTTAACCAGATAAAAGCATTGAGATAAAATCTCATTTTCAATGCTGACCTGGCCAAGAAGGCAGCAACGTTACACATAACACATAACACAAACATATAAAATACAGAGAACATAACTAAGAAAACAAAAGACGAAAAAGCCGTCACATTAGGACAGTAAGAAAGGCACACTACTTATTACTGCAAGAGCAGCTGGTGGTAAGGACTTCAGACAACTTCAATTTAAAACATGCTATTGAGACACGTGCCCTCAGTTTTAGGCGTGATTGAAGGTCATTCCAAGACCAAGGACCATAATAAAAAAGACTCCTTTTTCCAGCCTCAGTCCGCACAGCAGGAACCTGGAACCGTATCCAGGCACTGGAAGCATTGGAAGCGTTCCAATGAATTTATGTTAAAAAATGAATAAATCTGATTTAAATTAGTCTTTATTCTATCCAGCCCATGTGGGTATTCTTCCAACAAGCTCTACACTGCTATAACATATTACAAGTGCATATTTCCATGTCTTCTACAGGGATTATCAGCTGAAGGTTTCTCACTTTTCCTACAAGCTTTAGCCTCGGCCCTTTTTGATCAGTAATGGTAACTGTTGAGGTGGAATATCATGTGCTGTGCAGTATGTATCCATCAAATGCGTTCACAGGGTTGTTATTTCTAAAAGAGTCAAAGGGAAAACGTTAAAAAAGTAAACCAGAGACTATTTTTAGTCAACTCACTAATAAGTAAGCACTAATTAAGCTAGCTAATTAGAGTGTCAACTCTATACCTGTGAACATGCATTGCTAAAAATGAAACATTGACATGCTTAGCAACGTAACAAAAACAGTAACCAATGGAGACAGTGCTTCGAAAATGTTTAACCCTGCATAAAGTCAATGTATAATGTATGGTATACTTACAAATGTCTACTGGATATGTCATTACTTATTCAAAATACAAACTATCCTTTCAATGTGGGAAAAATGAAACACTCGAATCTCGTATTATCTTTTGAATTAAAATGCAGCTGTTTGACCAAATGCATATTCTACCGTCAGTAATCTGCCATTGTTGACATAATTATGAAAGAAGTGAGGAGAATCACTTTGTATACGACACCATTGATAAAAATGAACTTAGTAAAATGCTACTAGAGTAGGCGTTAGCTTGTAGTGAGGCAGCAGCAGAAAACTAAAGAGTAGTCAGGATGGACTATGTGGGCTGTGTATGAATTCATTTAAAAGGAAATGTGTAAGTTCAGACTTTTCTTTTAACCTGTTAAGCACCAAGCCTGTTTTTCATGTTTCAGGCTTGAAAAGGACATGCCCAAAACAAATGACTACAACTTAACTTCTAAAAGGGTTATATGAATAATTTCTTTTATCAAAGCAAGGTTACATCTGTGAGTTGGATGTAGAAGTGTCAGAATCAATATAGATGTTTTTTATTTTAAAGAAAATTCAGATTTTACATAGTAAAAAACTGTAAATTATAGTGTCCGTCCAAAAATTCTTTTTTACTTATAGTGAAAACTACCCTTGGATGATGGGTTAGTAGACTAAAAGCTTTAGGAATCCAAAGTACAACATATAATAAGTACCCTGTATCAAGATTGATGCAAAACAAGTGACATTTGACCTTTTTAGAGAGGTTTAGCCAAAACCACTCCACCTCTGAGGTGATTTGGGTGAAAATGTTTTTTTTTCCATATCTCTGGCCCCCCTTGGTCGATTTGGATGGTTGACACCTCTTTCTGACCGTTAGAGCCAATAGAATCGAAGGGGGAGTCCCCCACACACACACACGTTGTGAAGAGAAGAGGTGGGGGCTTCGCGCATGTAATTTTGCATCAGAGTGGACCTATCTCTAGCTCTGACATTTGGAAACGAAAAAGCAGTTTTATTGCTTATGGATTATCAGAAATCATTTCAAAGAGGACACAGACACATTGGATTAACCTATGGATTAACTGCAGCATCGTTTTTTTATCGTTTTAATGCCATTGAAGACCAGTTTTGACCAAGGTAAGCCA